CACACACACACACACACACACACACACACGCACACACACATAATATATATTATATATAGTGAGTAAGATAATACCATTGTTATTATTGTATTTAACCTTAGTATTAATAACAAAAAATAAATAACAGACACTGACATGAAATATCGAGTGTAAGTAAGTGTGTGTAATAACAGTAAGACACGTACTACGTCATAGATAGAGGCGTAAATTAAACCGCTTGCAAAACGCAAACGCGGGATGACATGCTCAGTTGTTTCATTTTAGCAACGGGAACAACAGCGCCCCCTCGACTCCGGCCCCTCTGCCACCTCTGAGCCCCGACGCGTACGGTAAAATGGACGCGTTTCCGTATTACGAGAGCGTCGATAACTACGAGGTACCCATGTCAACCCTGTCGAAACCTAGAGGGGACGGGAAAGGTAGTGGGAGCAGCCACAGCGTGCTCGGCCGGGAGCGAATGCCTCTTCCAGGTAAGCGTAAATAGCGTGACTTGATCGCAAGCCGGGGATTAGGAAATCAAGTTGACATTATCTATACTGGTTTATATACTTGAAAAATCTATCGCCCAATCAAGAGCCCAATTAGGGGTTAATGGGCTCTTGATTCAGTTTATAAGCATTAAAACTTTTTATTTAATTATTTTCTTTATAAGTATTCTAACATCATTGTAAGATATCGTAGATATACGTACATACCACGAGAATTATAGCTGCATGCATGAAATTGTGTTCTGATATAGACAACACCGCATAGCCTATATGAATATGTGAATGATACTGACATATGTAAACTCAACTCCATGCGAATCCATTCCCCGTGTGCCCGCAGGAACTAAGCAGACTACAGATACCCACGATTACTTCACTCTGGAGTCGAATGATCAACCAAATCCCGTGAACGACGAGTATAACATCACCAACGTCGCCACCGCCACTACTGACGCGGAAGAGGAGAATCCGGTGAAATCCATCCTGTAATTAAAGCATCGGCTCAGACACGGGCAGTTTTGCCATCTAAATAAACCAAGCGATGTACTAATAGTTTGGTGTTTTCTTCCGAATACGGGAGATGTCGGACTCATAGAGTTTTAACACATTAAGGCCAATTCACACAGAGCTACGCTCATCCACGATCCGCCCCACGCTCCAAAAATTGCCCGGGCCGTGGTGAGTCGTGTGGTCTCGAGAGCGTGGCAATTGGGCCCCAGCGGGCAGCGCGATACTACGATCTAATTACGTCGATACTACGATCTACAGTGCCGATCTCTTTACCCCGATCTCATTTGCGCTCAAAAAGCATTTTAGCCGCTCACACACACGCCCGCATCACTCGCTTGCACTTGCCGCTCACTGCCGTCTTTTATTGTTGACCTAATCAGATCTGCGCATTGGTTTCGCAACGACGTTGCCACTGCAGCCTAAGCAACCTCACCGCGCCTCAACTGCGCGCCAGTCAGCCGCACTACCTAGTGCGGACTTGATATCACGCCTCTAGGACAGTGCGCCGACTGCGCTGCAACGTACCATATAAAATGACGCGCCGCCGCGTTTCTAGACATCATCATTCGTTCTGCCGTGCTGTTCACAATCAAAAGATTTAGTTTTCTACTGATTTTATACCATATAGCTATATAGTATTGCTACAACTATAGGCCGGCCTAAGAAGACTTCTATTTCTGCCTCATTCTCCTCCCAGCATGTGCATGGCTGGCAATCAAGTAATTCGAGTATGTCTTCTACGAAGAAACATTGCATGGAGGTAGTGTTGCCTTCATCTATAGTGGACCACTGCGCGTGGCGTGGCCAGGCGTACACCACTCATTTATACCCCAAATTCGCAGGACGTGATCTGAGCGTAACTAACACGTAATGCGCAACGCCACAACGGCGTGGTCTGAGCGTGTTGTGACGTAGCTACAGATCGCTAGTACGCACACGCGCGTTCGAACCGTTGCTAGAGACCGCACCATGGTCATAGGCGAGAGCGTGTATTGCGTCAGGTCGCAGAGACTCTGCCATGGCGTAGTAACAGCGCTGATGAAAACGTATGACATCGTGGCTGCAGACGAGCGACATTCTTCCGCACCCGAACACGCTTGTCGATACGATCATATAGTTGTACTGACGCTCAGAGTAACGTGCGGGTTACTACGCCTTCCACGTCTTAATACGCCGCCACTGCGCCTGTCTTTCGCACACGCTTCGCCACACGATTGTTTTGACATGTTCAAGTATGGCAACGCCTCGCTCTACGCTCATGGTGACTGCACCGCGCTCGGATCCGACGCTGCACTACCTGTCCATATACGTTCATAACTTGCGTTTACACAGTTTCCACACGCTCTTATAGCCCCATAGTACGAGAATCGATAAGTGAGATCACGGCCTGCCTGGATGGAGAATGGTATTTAGTAGCCTTATAACTCCTTTAGCCTATACCACTGCGACAGTTCGCCCTGTGCGCTTACATGCTGTGCCCACATTTGGTGTGATTATTTTGTTTATTTTGTATTCTTAGCGATAATCAGTTGATGAATGTCAGTTTGTGTGGGTGGGTGGGTGTTTGGGTGGGTAAGTGATTGGTGGTGGTGGGTGAGTTTGCGGGGGGGGAGGGATAGGTGTAGCGGCGTTATGGGTTTGAAATATTGTAATAATTGATACCAGAACTGCGCATCGGACAGCGTAGATATTTTTCGTCAGTTTAAAAACTATAGCAACTAGAAACTCTAGCGTGCATTTAATCAGTAAATATGGCGTCGAATTTAAGAGAAAAACATGAAAGTAACAAGCGATCAAAAAATAAAATATAAATAAACATATTAATATAAATTTTTTAATTAAGTTTATACTCATTTTTATTTATTAAATGTCTAAAAAAATAAATGCAATTACCACCATACTGCAATCGATAACAATGACGTTTTGTGTTTAATTATAGTTAGGCCTATCCGTTGAAGTGTAAGCCCACACCCATCTACAGGCACATGTGTCATTGCAATACTAAATTGATAGCAAATATACATGAATTATATTGACTGCCAAAGTTAATGTCTATCAATGGCTATCAATCCGCGACCGTACGGCGACCAGAAAATGTACAAGGTCGCCGGCAAAGTAACGTGAACACAACGCGAGAAAAAGTCCCAACAAATTACAAACTTGAAAAAAAACCGCGCTCTTACCGCGACCTGTGCGATCATACCGCGTTCTCACGGCGCGCCCGCCACGACCTCTCCGCGCTTATGGCGTTTCTATTGAGATCTATGGGCTTGGCAACGGCGATCACCCGCGTTCCTGCGGCGTTTTCACCACGCTCATGGGGTTCTTACCACGCGTCTTCTACGTGTATCGCGACTGCACGGCGACCTCACGGCGTTTCTAGCACGTTCTCACGGCGACTATATAAGCTGGTCCGATTTTGGGAAATTTCAACTGTATAGTTGTGCGTTTGCTGAGTAGAAACACGATGCCGAAGAAACAAGCTACTAGAGGCCGAGGCCGTGGCCATGGCCGAGACAGATCGGCATAAAACAGATCTGCAGATCGGATGAGATAGATCCATGAAGCCGCCGTTGCAAATGTTACCATTTTCGCAGCGTCTTTGCCACGCGTGTACTGCGCGCGTACTACGTTCATGGAGATGTTACGACGCTTGTCTCACGACCTTCGCGACCCCACCGCGTTCTCACCGCGTTCCAGGTCAGATCGCCGAACCTTGGCGTTTGTTTTGAACATGCTAAAAACAAACGCCGTGACTCGGCGATCATTGGCGACCATGGCGACCACAGCACGATGTCTGGCGTTTCCACCACGCTTATGGCGACCTTGACGCACTCTGGGCCCATTTTCCGTCGCCGTAGCAGCACAGCAAGGACGCCACACCGGTCTGATGGGGGTGAAAAAAAGACGGACTCCGTTATTTATTCATCTTCATACGTTTTCTATTCCGCGGGGCGGCAACGGCAGAGGCTGCCGTGATGATGGCTGATTGAGTCATTGTATGCACAAGCGAAAGCTGAACGTATTATATTCTCACGTCAAGCCTTTGATGTCGGGAAGTCGTCAAGTCTTTGATGTCACGGGCGCACGCGCGTGCGCAAACCGCCGCATTCCCGCTCTGCTCCCCAGTCGCAAACCGCTCGTATATATACATTAGAGTAATCATTCTTAACGATTACTCCAAGTATATACACACTGAGCAGCGATCGTACCCCGCTCGGCAGCGAAATTCGATGTTGTCCGGTTCACACAACCGTATTGAGTGCTTGCTCGCGCCGCGCCGCCGCTTCGTGATATAGAATCTTTGAAGTTTGTTAGAGGAAACCGAATATCGTCGGCGTGTTATCCGGATATTCGGATGCCCGTCGTCGGTGCTCGCGCACGGACCCTTCCTGGATCGCTCATCGCCGCCGAACCGAAAGCAGCACTCATCGAAGTTGAAACGAAACCCGAAACTGTACGTCGACTGAATACGAGAGAGAGCGGAGAAGGGTAGGCTGTAACCCGGACGTATGAGCCATATGTCGTCGCTATCGGGAAGCAATTCGACGCCTTAACGAACCGCCTATCAGCTCTACCATCTCGGCCCTCCACGCAGCATGCATGGCCCTCTAGGCGGACGGTGACGAGCTATACACAGGTGGTGACGAGTGAGATATTACATTATATAGGCCTATGCAACTTTATTTTAATTATTTAAAATGGTTTTAAGTTGTGTTAAATTTTGCTACTTTAAATTTCGTTATTTATTTAATATTTATTTAAATAATAATATTTTGTTATATAATTACATAATTAGTATAATTTTATATAGAATATTATTATTAATTATTATCAATTATATATATATTTTATTATAACATATCATTTAATCATCGCATATAAATACGCACACTTGTTCCCGAGTAGGGAGTTGAAGATCGATAATCGTCGATAACTATAAATCCCGTCCGTGTCTGCGAGGAGGAGTGTTGGGTTAGGTGCTGAAGCCCTGTGGATGATGGCGGGAGGCTGCGGATACCTGCCGTCTAGCGCCGGAGTCCGGGAGCCGCTGCGATGCAAGCTTGTCGGCACGCAGCAGCAGCAGTGCGGCATCTCCGGATCCAGACTGAGAGTCGGATACTGGCAGACGTACCCCGTAAGATAGATAGATAGCTATATATATATAGATATATATATATATATATATATATATATAGAGAGAGAGAGAGAGAGAGAGAGAGAGAGAGAAAGAG